CTCAACCAGGTGCTTTGATGTACGACAAGTACGTGACCAGTGCCCTTTTCCTCCACATCTATAGGATGTATTTTCTACATTTGGCGTTTGCACCGCTTCATGCTTTTGTTCCTTCCTTTTCCACTGCTGGTGGTGAGGAGGCTTCTTTGGTGCATTATTATTACCATGATTGGGGTTTCTTCCCCGACCACGGCCATGACCACGACTGGGGCCACGACCTCTTCCACGTTTAGCTTGGTGGAAGTTCGTCTCATTCACTTCAGGGAATGGACATGAACCAATAGGTCGGCTTTCATGATTTTTCATTAATAGCNCCCATTATGTTGCTCTGCTATGAGAAGATGTGAGATAAGTTCATAATACTTTTTAAATCTCATCTCTCGATATTGCTGCTGCAGGAGCATATTCGAGGCATGAAAAGTGGTGAAAGTTTTCTCCAACATATCATGATCAGCAATATTATCACCACATAACTTCAATTGGGAAATAATTCTGAACATAGCAGAATTATACTCACTGATAGATTTAAAATCTTGTAGCCTTAGATGAGTCCAATCATATCGTGCGTGTGGAAGAACGGCCATCTTCAGGTGGTCATATCTATATTTCAAATTATTCCACAGTATGACTAGATCTTTAACAGTAAGATATTCCATTTTCAGGCCCTCATCAAGGTGATGGCGTAGGAATATCATTGCTTTGGCACGGTCTTGGTTTGATGCCTGATTTTTGTCTTTGATGGTGTCTGCCAGACCCATCGCATCAAGATGAATTTCAGCATCAAGCACCCAAGACATGTAGCTTTTGCCCGATATATCCAGGGCTACAAATTCAAGTTTAGAAAGATTTGACATTATTTAGGAAAAGAAAGTTCTTACCTCAGATACTTTCAAAATATTTGCTCGAGATGGTAGAGCTTCGTGCTGATAACGTGTTATGAAATAAAGACTATAAAGTAAAGACAAGTATAGAGAGAAACTGATATATTATTCGAATTCAAACTGATGTACATAATGAACTGAAATCTCTTCTATTTATAGAAGAAAGGAAGCTGCTCTGTAAGCTGCTACTACAAGCTGCTGTGTAAGCTGCTACTACAAGCTGCAGTGTAAGCTACTATAAGCTGCTGTGTAAGCTGCTACTACAAGCTGCTGTGTAAGCTGCTACAAGCTGCTGTGTAAGCTGCTGCTGTACCAGATATGGATAATCTTCTACTGAGAGCAATATTTATCCATAACGGAGTACTGAATGGATAAGCTTATTATACCCGGTATGGATAATCTTCTACCGGGGTAATGTTTATCCATAACTGGGTACTGAAAAGATAAACTTATTATACCCGATATGGATAAACTTCTACTGGGGGTAATGTTTATCCATAACCGGGTACCGAAGTGATAAGCTTCTTCAGGAAGCTTATTTCCAATATAGTACTAAATAGATAAACATATTTACGGTGGAGTCCCATATGGATAAGCTTCTTCAGGAAGCTTATTTACAACAGAGTACTAAATGAACATCCATAATATAATATATTTATAACAGTAGTCATCAAGTTCAATATGTTGGAATACTAAGGGCTTATTTTGTATAAGGGATAAGAGATAATTAAATTTGAGATGAATTTATTCTCATGTTTGGTTGGCATAAAATCGTGGTATAACTAATCTCGGATTTAATTATCCCAGAATTGTAAATTTTTTATCCCTATAGGAGGGTGGGATAATTAATCATGGGATAACTTTTGTCCCCACCAAACGACCCCTTGGGAGATTTTAGTCTCAAATGTTTTGCAGCTCTAGTTTTGGCTGATTGGTTAAGTCCAATCAATATTGAGATCTATACAGATAAAGAATCACATAGTTAACTCACTACCGATACTATTTAATTAGTTCTGAAATATAATGAATTTTCCTAGAGGGAAAGTAGAAGAGATCAAAATGATATATACAAGAATAAACCTATTTCAACTACTAATCTTGTTTGGGTAGCACGCACCTATTGATCTTCCGAATGCCCGAAAACTAGAAGTTATTTACAACACAAAAATAATAGATGAGAACTCATCTAAAACTGCTAGAACATTCGAAATTAACTCATCAACTTTATAAATAAAAGAATCTCATTTTATGAACCCAGCTGTGATCATTTGCCTGAGAGACTTGCTGCATTTCCTTCATCGAAAAATCAAAACCAGCTTCCAATCTTGACTTGGAATATTAAATATTACCAATGCTGGCAGCTACATCTTGATGTTGTAGAACAATGCTGATCACATCGACAAGTAACCTGTTAAAAACTCATTCAGAAAGCCTAAGAAACTTCCTTCCACGTAAAATTCATCAGCTGCATCTTGATGTTGTAGAACAATGCTGATCACATCGACAAGTAACCTCTCAAAAACTCATTCAGAAAGCCTAAGAAACTTCCTTCCATAAAAAATTCATTTTCTCATGTGCTCAGGAATGAGGCGTTGTCTCAGTTCAGTAGGTGCACCAGAAAGTTCTGCATGAAGCTTACTACAGTCAGACGGAGCATAGTAACTAAAATGGTGAAGAAGAACAAAAAAAAAGAAGGAACTTAGCTCAACCTTGAGGTGTAAAATTGAATAGAGGTGGCAAAGGTCGCCCATTTGGCAAGCAAGCATTTGGTTCCCTCAGAGCATCAAAGAAAGGGTGTGCACATGCCTCCAACTGAAAATGAACAGAAAGTTTATGACTCATTCGAGATGCCTCTTGATCTCAAATCCCAAAGGAGTCTACAAGCATAGTTCTAACATAATACTAGTAAAATGCGGTCACCCTCTCAGTAGGCTTCATAAACTTGTTATTATCCACAAGATTAACAGAGCTGTGATTCTCATTAACTATTTGCAAGCTTTATACTAACAGCAGGAAAAGGCTAAGCCATTCACTTACAGCAGTACAACGTAGAGTTGGAGAATACTGGAGCAGCCTTGATGCCAAATCTACTGCTTCAGGAGGTATTCTTCTATTAAATATCTGCAAAATACAATTTCATTTAGATCTGATCTGTGCCTCAGCCTGCAAATGAGTGCACTTGGAATAGACGGTGGGTCAAAGAACATCATCAAGGAAAGAAGAAAAAGAACGTAAGATAAAGAGATATATATACTTAATAAATGAGACAAACCTTATGCCATGGATGAGCTTTCATTTGAGGAAACTTGAACTCTTTATAGTTTGGATTCATGCACCTAATTTCCTCTCTAGTTGGTGTCCCCAAAATCTAGCATGGATTAAGTACATAACGAAGATAAGCAACAGAATGAAACTCAATCAACACTGCATAAAACCATGGGGCATTAAAAACTAGTGTCCCGTAACTGCATACCTTGATGATCTCCACCAGCTGATCGACGCCACTTTCTCCAGGGAAAAGAGGCTAAACATAATGCAACATTCAATGCATCAGACTAATTTATAGCAGAGTAAATCAAAATATGACGCTCACAAGAAAACTTTTTTAAAAAATTTATGGACAAGTCTCACAAGGAAACTATCATAACACTATCATGATCCACCAAAAATAAAAACACAACTTACAACTAGGAAAACATTCAGGTGCAAGCACTTAGATATCTACCTCAGTAAAAGAGAGGGATTATAGAAAGTAAATCTATGTGTGGGTGCAAGAACAAATTACCAACTTTCTACAGCTCACATCAGAAAGAGTGGAAAAATAGGCACCATGAATACAACTCACCTGTCCTAAAAGCAGCTCAGCGAAAACGCAACCAGCTGACCACATATCAATTGCATTTGTGTATTCTGTAGCCCCAAAGATCAATTCAGGTGCCCTATAATACCGAGAACAAATGTAGGATATATTGGGCTCCCCAGGCACCTATGGTAAGAGGACACAAATCTGAGTAGATGCAAACACATAGGAAAACATAGCTCTCAAAAAAAAAAAACATACCAACATCTTTGCACTTCCAAAATCACATATCTTTAACTGATGAGTGTGGGGATTAACCTGTAGCAGTAAGTAAAACAATAATACGACAAATAGTTAGAACTGAGGCAAGAAGAATGGCGGGAGAGGAAAAAACAACTATGTCAGATAACCAACAAAATGGAAGAGCTATGAACACCTAAAAGCAAGGAGCATAACCAGCAGATCTTACCAAAAGATTCTGAGGTTTAATATCACGGTGACATACGCCAGTTACGTTGTGCATGTAATTCAGAGCCCGACATAGCTGCAGAATTTTCATTATGAGAAAAGAATCAAGTTGTAGCTTCTGAAGTGTCAAGCTAATTCACAATATCAATTTGCTGAAAGTCCGGAACCATTACAGGAAAAAGGAAAGAATGCAGCAAATGCTCACCTGGTAAGTGTATAGTTGAACATATATGATGGGCATGTGATGGTTCACTCGGCTGTAGTGCCTTGAAACTCGGTAAACAGTTTCAGACACATACTCCAAAACAAGGTTAAGGTAAACCTCATTCTTCTCAGTAGTAGAATAGAAACAGTGTCTCAAGTGAACAACATTAGGATGATCAAGTATGCGCACAATCTGTAGTTCCCTGTTCTTGTATCTCCTATCCTGTAAAACCTTCTTTATTGCGACAGAGTCACCTGTTTCAAGGCACTTAGCCTAAGAAGTATAAAAAATATGAAGATATTAGCAAAAGTCAAGCACAGCCACCCAGGAGACTTCAATGTTTCAATAACCACCTAATCTTTCCTAAAAGCACTAACTTTACCTGAAATACAACTCCAAATGAACCCGTGCCCACCACACGTTCAGCCATGTAAGACAGCGTCTGGGATAATAACATGAAAGTCATATTGATTAAGCTCAAACAGATAATAACACACAAGCTGTCACATCTACTTTTGTTCAACTATGAACATGAAACTCACCTTTTTCTGCTGTCCATTTCGACCACTCAAAGTAGTCACGATTATCTGACCTGTTTCTGTTCCATTACCACTAACAACAGCAGGCTCCATATCCTATTTTCAGTAACATTTTAGAAATCAAAAGGCTTCTTCATACACAAAAAGCATCAAGATATTTATATCAAAAACCCGAATTGACATAAATAAGAAGGTACCTTTATGTCATCCTCGCGTCCATTAGTCTTGTCGTCTCTAATTTTCATTTCATTCATTTCCTTTGGAAGCTCCTCATATCCAGATTTTTCTGGTCTAGTATCAACATTCAATGTAGTAGTAGTACTTTCACTAGACGTAGAAGTCACATCCTGTTTAGGAGCTATAGTACATTGCTCTTCTGATTGAGTTTCGCCATCGACCCTGTGATCTACTTCCTGCTCAACCTTTACTCTCTTTAGGCTAAAATCCCCACCCTATTAAATTAAAAGAAATTAATGAGATTGCACTTAAATCTCATCAGGAGAAACAATAAAAACATGTTCAAATCTGAAATGAGGCAAAAAAACATTAGGAAATTTCTTTCTATATGACTAATCCTTAGTGGGTAGAGGTACCCGCTGGTGGGAGGTAACAGGTATAGGATAGAATTATCCAAGCTAGCCCAGGCACCGTTATATAAAAATAAATAAATAAATAAAATTTCATGATTTATCTAAAAATTAAATAAAAATAAATAAATAAAATCTCATGATTTATCTAAAAAACTATCTTCAGCTAACGTTGCAAACTACTAATCTGATGGAGAAATTATAACAAAAAAATTACAGAGTTAATATATGAGATTGCTTCTATCACTACCAAGCCAAACTATAGCTTTTTTCCCCCAAACAAAACGAAGCAAACAAAAAAAATGGCAAACAACAAAAAAAATGCTATGAATTTTCATTACGTTATCTAATTCAAGTAACATTTCCCCCAAATTGGCATAAAAATTAAAATTCATAAGGAAGAAAATTACAGGATCCGAAACGGAAGATCGACCAGAAGCAATGCTCTTGAGGCGTCGCATCACATTCATATCTTCTTTTTACACAGAATCCAAATCCTAAGCAGAAATTGAATTTGAAATTAAAAATGATTTTTTAAAATAAAAAATTGTTACTCCTCCTCTCTCTTTCCTTTATCAGAAACAAAATTTTTCTGAAATTTTCCTTCAATTGAAGAAGAAAAAGTGAGAAGGCTAAGAACAATGAATCGAAATACAGCAAAAAAGAATGAAGAAATAACAAAGCTCTCTCTTCTCCTTTCTGCGTTCAACAAAAAGGAGATAAAAGGGAAGAGAAATTGAAAACGAAATTGCTCTGACCAAAACAGATAAAAGAAAAATATAAATATCTTTTTTTTTAAAAAAAAAAAAAATCAACCGGTCAAAGTAATCCTCTTAATTTGTACTTTCAGTCAAACTTTGATTTTGGATTTGGTGTAAAATGACGAAAATGGGCTTCAAATGGAGGAGGAATTACGAACGGCGTGGGATAGTCGGATTCGGGCAATAATTGTGCCAGCGGAATATCCGGATGGGTTTTTTGGTCAAACCATTTGACTTGACTCTTTAGATTTTAATTAAATAATAAAAGGAACAATCCTATTTATAATATATTTTTTATTTTTTATTATTATACTATAAGCCACCTAGTACGAATGCCTAGGTAGGGAATTTATCTGCAGAAAATATTTTAGTATTAAGAAACAATTAAGAAGGAAAAGAAAATTGGTGCACTTTAGATGTGACATCACATTGATTGCATTATATTTCTCTCATTATTAATTTCCGTTCAAACTTCAAAATATTGTTGACGACTTGTGAATTTATTAGAGTAAAAGTCAGCTTATTTTAACAAGTGTTTTTTTTAAAAGTAATTTTTTTAAAAGTACTTTGGTGAAAAACAGTTTGTATTTGGCTAATTAGTTTGAAAAGCACTCCTGAGCAGCAATTAGTGTTTGCTCAAGCTTTAAAAAACTGCTTCTAAGTATATTTTTCCCAAAAGTGATTCTCAAAAAAGTATTTTTGGAGAGAAGCTACTTTTTTCTGCTTCTCCAAAACTGCTTCTGCTTCTCCTCAAAAGCACTTTTTTTCCTTTCAAAAGCTTGGCCAAACATCTCAATTTTTGGTCAAAAGTGTTTTTGGTATTAAAAAAAAAAAAACACTTTTGGCCAAAAAGAAGTTTGGCCAACCAGACTAGAAGTGTGACAGATTTGAACAATCAAACTCAATTTTCAGCCGTTAATCTTTGAAATTCTTGATATGCAAATACCCATGTATGTACCTGTATAAAAGTTTTTACATCAGAAAAACGATGATTAGTATACACCCTCGTCGTTTCACTATGGGTTCAATCTCAAGTTTTTTAGCAATAAACTCATTATATATTTAAAATTATGAGTTCATATTTACTATTTATTGCAATTTAAATGAATATTTACAAATAATTTATGTTTAGCATCAAAAGTATTGGGTTCAAATGAATCAGGTACCAATATAAGACTGGCTACACTCTGGTACCTAATATCTCCCACCGACACAAATACCACTGATTAACTTTATCCATCAAGATTTAGACAGATGAAAAGATTGATCTTTCGAACTTCTCAAATAAGATAAAGATATCGGAGCTCACTTGAAATAGAAGTAACTACTAAACGAAAAAACTAACAAGAGTTGTGGTGGAGTGGTAAGTACTCCTTCATCCTTAACCAGAAGTCTCGGGTTCGAGTCATTGGGTATGGAGTCGCCTTTGTTAGGGAGCGCTTTACCCCCAATGTGGGACTTTCCGACGCGAATCCGAATTTAGTCGAGCCCTAATATGAATACCGGACACCAGGTTTCCACCGAGCAGGAAACCAAAAAAACTACTCAACGAAAATAACTTCAACCATAGAAAGTAGACAATTATATTACATCAATTAGTTAACCGTTAAAGTGATTTTTCCAAAGAAGCTGTCATACTAGCATACAAGCATGCATATCTCCATCTTGCTTTTAAGAATCAGCGCAACGATCCCTGAGAGCACTGCTAATGAATTTGATTTCAGTCCAGATACATATCGATATGATGCCATATGATACGATAAGCTTTTAATGTAAGCAGGATATATCTGGGCCTTGTATTGGGAAAAATCAAATTAATTATGTGCTGACATGGCTTGACACATGGATCAGTAAGAGAGTGATAATAGGAGAGGAATAGTTGAAGAGGCATTAATAGGCACGGGATAAGCGCTCGAACCTCTTGATATTTTGAAGAGGCATTGGAAGAATGAACCTAAATAGCAAAAGGGGTTTAGATACGTATTATTAGTAATTAATAGACATTAATTATGGAAAACGTTATATAATCTGTATTGAAACAGTATTATAACGTTACATTAAATGCCATTAATTGTCCATAATGACTCCATTATGAGAGGAAAAAAACGTATTACTTAAAAATAGCTATAAAAGGTGAAGAATGAACATTTGTAAGGACACGATATACTATTGGAATATACTAATTTACTTTGCTTTCTTCTGCTCATTTTGCTATCATTAAAGTCAATTTCTTTTATTTGTTCTATATTTGATTATCAGTAACCCGAGTTATTCTAAAATAAAGATTTCACCGAAATTCCTATTTTTTGGTTAAACAAATTGGTTCCGTTACTAGGAATCTGATAATCTTCTGCTTTCCAAATCGATTCTTTTATCAACGACAATCATGTCGAATATCAACGACAATAACCAGCAAAATTTACCACTCCAAGGAGATCCACAATATCAGTTGAACAAACAAGATGACAGAACCTCACCTCCTTCGCCACAACATTCTTAGCGACAATCACGAGAGGGGACTCCAAACAGATCTGAATCAAATGAAAGTGACAAAGTTGCAAATGAACTAGCTCTCGATGAAGCTCTTAAAAAATTAATTGTTCAACAGGTCAATAACGCTCTCTAGGCTTTTACCAGCCAGTTGCCAGTTGCACCACCAACACCTACTCCAAATAATAACACCTTGGAAAACCCTCATTCTGAACTCGTTAATTCAGGCAGTGGCGGAACTCCCAACGAGTCTCGTGATGGAGAACCAGGTGACATAGTTAATTCTAATTTACAAAATTTAGTGTTAACTTTGCAGAAACAGCTCAAGGAGCAAAGCGACTGCATAGAGCAAATATCTGGAGTACCGCCTGTAATCAAGGGAATAGATATGGACAAATATTCTCAACAACCTTGGAAGCCAAGTGCTGCTCCTCTACCAATTCCGAAGAAATTCAAGATGCCCAATATTCCAAAATACGATGGGACAACTGATCCACTAGACTACGTGACTGCATTCACAATTGGTGTAAAGGGCAACGACTTGACCAAACAAGAAATTGAATCAGTGTTGGTAAAAAAAATTGGTGAAACACTTACTAAGGGAGCATTAATATGGTATTCTCTTTTATCCGAAAATTCTATAAAACTTTTGTTGAGCTTGTAGATTCATTTATCAAAGTACATTCAGGAGCTCAAAAAGTCGAAAAAAGAATGGAGGATATTTTTAAAATAAAGCAAGGAGATTCGGAGCTGCTCAGAGAATTTGTAGACAGATTCCAACGTAAAAGGATGATGTTGCCATGCGTACCTGATAACTGGGCAGCTATGGCTTTTGCCAGTAATTTAAATAAGAAAAGTTCAGAAGCCACGAGATGACTCAAGGAAAGTCTACATGAATTTCCAACAATAAATTGGAATGATGTTTACAACAGATATAATATAAAGTTGTGGATAGAAGAAGATACCATTACTCAGTCTCAAAAAAATGAGAGGGTAAGTTCAAGACGTGCTGAAACTGAAAAAAGGTCCGGTAAAAACAAGTACGAGCCCTACATGGGACCAGCAGGAAGAGACTCGCGCTCAAAGCAAGATAACTCAAGGTACGATCATAGATCAGAAAAATGCTTTAGGTTCTTTTCAGCTCTAAAAAAACAGGATCAGTTCGAATGGTCTGAGGAATGTTAACAAGCGCTTAAAAATTTGAAAGTGTACTTGTCAAATCCACCGTTGCTTGCGAAACCAAAAGATGGGGAGAAACTGCTCATCTACCTTGCTGTTTCAGAAGTAGCGGTGAGTGTTGTTTTAGTTCGTGAAGATCAAGGTAAACAAGCTCCAATTTATTATGTTAGCAAGTCATTATTAGATGTTGAAAATCGGTATCCTCATCTAAAAAATCTTGCACTTGCATTAATCATGGCATCTAGGAAATTAAGACCTTATTTTCAATGTCATCCCATCTCAGTAGTGACTGTCTATCCCTTACGTAAGATATTACATAAACACAAGTTATCAGGTAGGTTAGCCAAGTGGGCCATAGAGTTGAGTGAATATGACATTACATATCAACCTAGAACTACAATAAAGTCACAGGTGTTGGCAGATTTCGTGGCAGATTTTAGCCAAGGGATGTAACTAGAAGCAGAAAAAGAACTACAGGCATTCAATAGGTGTAATCCAGGAACTTGGACTTTGTTTACTGATGGTTCATCGAATGTGAAAAGAGCAAATCTAAGAATTGTTTTAGTACCACCTACGGGTGAAACCATACGACAAGCCATAAAATGTCACCCTGTTACTAACAATGAGGCAGAGTATGAAGCTATGATTGCAGGTTTAGAACTGGCACGTGAGTTGGGCATAGAACAGGTCGTAATCAAAAGTGATTCACAGCTCGTAGTTAACCAAATGTTGGGGACCTATACAGCCAGAGAGGCAAGAATGTAGCAATACCTGGAAAAGGCACGTAATCTGGTTCGGCAATTCCAAACCTGGAAGGTTGTGCAGATACCAAGAGAAGAAAATGTCGAGGCAGACGCCCTAGCTACTCTAGCATATGCGGCAGAAGTGACAATTGATGAAAATGCTTATGTAATTCATTTATTTCATTCAGTACTTGATCAAGACAAAAACGAGGTAAATTTCAATAATTTAACTTGGGATTGGAGGAACGAGATTGTCACTTTTTTACAGTATGGAATTGTCCCTGAAGATACGAAAAAAGCTAAAGCACTTTGCAAAAAAGCTGCTCGGTATTGTTTAAAGCAAGACAATCTTTATCGTAAAATGTTCGGTGGCCCCCTAGCGAGATGCCTCGGACCCTCTCAAACGGAGTATGTGATGAGAGAAATACACGAGGTTCATTGTGTAAATCATGCGGGAGGAAGATACTTAGTGAAAACCATGATTAGAGCTAGTTATTATTGGCCTAAAATGGAAGAAGACGCGAAAAATTTTGTGGCTAAATATGACAAGTGCCAAAGATACGGTA